TTATATTTGGTGGTATGGCTCTGTTCTGGGACCTCCCTGTCCTTCCATGTGCTGGAAAGAAGAGCAACAGCAAGACCCGGGGTTACAGAACAGAGCAAGCATCAGTGACATTCATTCAATCCATCAACTTAGTTTCATGTACACTTTGTGATACACCTGGCCATTGTTTTTGCACTCAGTGCTTTAAGAAGTGAGTTTCTGACAGTGTTGGCCCGACAGTCTGACCTGGTCTCCCTGGTGGGCCACAACAGATCCGGCTTTGACCTGGCGAAGATTCACCCTCCCCTCCAGCAGACTGGGGTCCTGATAACGTGAGACACAGAAATGTTTTTTAACTGTCTGTCTGAGTATCCAGTTATAACTGCCTCACCAAACACAGATTCACAATTACAAAACTGTTGCCATATCAATTCAATTTCACAGATTCACTCATATGCCACGCTTATATGCCATATATATGTAATGACTTGAAATATGATTTTCCCACTTCGTTCAAACTCTTAAACAATACTGCGTTTTTCCACATCTAAAACAAGAATGAACCAGTGAATGTTACACATTAGATGTAGTCTGAACGCTACCTGTATTTGGATGACCTGCAGCAGATCCTTTTTGGCAGCTTGGAAAATGGCATTAACCTTATTATGGTGGACATTTCCTCCTCCGGCTTCACTATAGTGGTAAACAGCAGATGGAGTGTGCAGCATTGTCACACTCTTCTTTAGAATAGACTAGTAGACAGAGAGACACAGGGAAGTGTAATAGAGACTTTAGAAAGACACTAAACCACAGTGAAAAAATGAAAAAAATACCCTAGCTTGACAATGCAGACTATCCTAAAATAACTTTGTGATGTGCTTAAATCCTGGATTCAAACCAGTGGCAAGTGCAAGACAGAACATTCTCATCCAGAGACCTTCACGGGACTGTGAGGCGCCGTCTCCTCCTTGGCAACTCTAGCTCGTTCATATACTCTGTTGAGGTCAACTGACATTTCACCTGCAAGATGCAAAAAGTTGACAGTCATCATATTAAATCAATTATTACGGCCAGATGGACAAGCGGCTCCCTATTCCACTGTGTCTTAGAGGCTACAGGATTTGTCATAGTCCTGATGCTGATGCTAGTTTTCACTGCAACTCAACTCAGATATCTTGTGGAAGTCTTTTCTTGCTAATAGACTTCATTTAAAGTTTGCTACTAAAAATTGATTCATTGACTGATTGTTTGATTCAGGTTTGGCAATGTATTTTTCATATGTTGTGCCTGTCATAATCCTTTGATAAGTATAAATGATTAAGTATAAGTGGCTCAGAGGCAGAGCATGTCGTC